AAGAACTCAAAACTATTATTTATTATTTTACACCCAACTACACGCATATACTTCCACTGGGGCTCTTTTATAATGCTTTGTTTTGTTAATACTCATTGGAATGTGCAGATCTTATGTTTAATACGCTCTGAAGATGCACCTAAATAGTAAGATAATGAATGCATTAATTGATGTAAATGAGTAGTGATGAACTGATATGCTTGATTAATGCAATCCCTTTTTTCTGCTAATGTTCTGATTTGTAGTTATGTTGGTAATATATTCCTTTTCACATAGAGAAAACATTATTTTCCACACTAATTTGGAAGAAATAATAATTTGGAACATCTTCGAGATCCTTGTCTTTAAATGTGCACCCCAGATCAGATGCCAACACCACCATGACCGTTTTTTTTTTTTTTGGTCATACTGTTCCTGTCAACATCTTGTCTTAGTTAAACATTTTAAGAGTTTTAAATGTCAAAAATGTGTTGCAATGAGATAATTTGACCATAGAAGAATTGTCTAAAAAATAAGGCAAAAAGTTGTTGCTAGTTGTAATTTCTCTGCTTGGCTTTGTGCCTGTCAGTTTGCAGCTAAAACCAAACCAGCGTGAGATCTGACACAATACAGTTATGCAGTGCAGCTGTCTAGACTTAGCTGTCACTTTTATGCCACATTGTTTTTACATATATTCAATTTTACACTCAACATATTGCAAATAACAAACCAGTGAGAAGAGCACAAACACAGCATTCCAAACCAAAATCCTTGAATTCCAGAAATAATGTGAAATAAGGAAAAACTGTTATCACTGTGGTAGAAAATTGTGTGTTCATGTGGGACCTCACTGCTCATAGAAAGACATTTAAGAAAATATTCTTTCAGGACTGCCAATAAGAATAGTGTCAAACTTACAATCCATGCATCCTAAGATTACCTTCCCCATTATTTTCTTTCTTTCCTCTAATGCACCCATGTAGTGATAATCAGCCGGTATGTCAGTTGCCTTCCCTATGCAAAAGAACTGTAAAGCGGGTACCTTTTAAATCTGAGAAATAAACAAATATTTTAAATAATTAAGAAACAAAGTGAGACATTAAAAATGCTCAGTAATGCCGACAGAAAAAGTCAGTAATTCAATGTAATGCCCGGTTTCTGCCATCTCATTCTTTTATTCGTTAAAGCGTGAAAAAACATGATTTTGTTCTCTGTTCAGATACACACCCGTACATGTTGTGTTGTCTGTGTGTATCTCTGGTGAACACTAGCTGATAGTAGCTGAAAGTATGTGTAAACATCTGGAAATTTGGATGAATCCTAATGAAATATTAATGGATAATGAATCTCACTTTGTTTTAGGACGTTTGGCTGCGATGATAGCTGTACTGCTGCATCTTTGCACATTCTGGTAATGCTGAAATCTCTGTTTTCTATCTACTTAGCATTAGTTGCATTAGTTTTTCTGTTTAGTATTTCCATGTTGAAGCTGTTGGTCTGAGAAAGCTTATTTTCTGGTAATTAACTTAATCCTTTTCAGGGTTACAGGGGGCATCAAGCTATCCCAGCGTACCATACTAAGAGACAGAGTACACAGACAACCTGTCTAGATTGATACTCACATTGGTACCGTTGAACAATTTAGACTCTACACCCCACCTGACTTCTATGCATTTTAAATACAGAGATAAAATATAGCATAGAAACACAGGAAAACATGCAAATCACCTCTGTTGACCAACTGCAGCGCAATTTCATAAAAGTTTTATCTGATCTGATCTAATCTAGATGATTTAGTTTATACATTATGGCTCTTCGCGGGACACAAAATCTCTTCCACTAATAAATTGTGTGCTTTGCCGGTATAGTGCAGAGCTAATGTAAGCCATGACAGAAGTGTGCCTCTCACAGGTCAGTGACCCAGCTCCAGGCAATAGGAGCACAGCCCGTCGGCTATGCAGGGCAGCATGAGGTCTGCTGCAAAGTGGTAGAGCTGCTTGTGCTCTCCTGATGATGCCGACATAGCTCACCAGGAGACTGATCCATGAGCCAAGCTCCACCCTGACCCCGGTGAGAAAACCTGGGGTCCAGGCTGCGAGTCTGGTGGCTCTGTGAATTAGCGAAGAGACATTTATAACGCTGCACTGTCCAGATTAATTATAGTTTTCCTGTAGGTTTCACGCTTAATTTCAATTGGTGACATGTAACTTGTCATGCTGTTGTCTCCCTGCAGTCTTTAATTAGCTAGCTGGACAAGCCTGGTGGGAAGACTTTTCCAGCTTTAGTATGTGAGAGCTCTGGAGCTTTGGTGCTCCATATTGAGGAGTACTCTCCATGTCTCCATCTCTCAGCTTCTCTCCAGGGAGCAGAGTTAAAGATACCTTGCTCTGATGGCATCTTGGGAGGCCCAAGGTGGTCATTAATGGCTCAGACATGAGAAGGTCGATCCATGTTGAGGGCAGCCAACCAGAACAACGGTATAAAATATGTAGCTGGTGGAGGTTTACAGCTGCAATTATGGAACGTACTGACAGACGGGATACCCATAAAATCAGGGATTATAGGTACAGTACAAGGCAGTATAACATTTTTCACAAATATGTAGCCTGTAGATTTTGCCATTCAATTAAACAAAATAATAATTTCCCCCAAATATATGTAACTTCCATGCATAGCCCCCAAATTAAGTGTATTTTGAGCAACTTGAAGCCAGCCTTCACTAATGATATGATTATAGTTATGAATATAATAACATTTTAGATATTACAGTATACACAGTTTACAGTTGTCAGCCACTATTTACACCAAGGCTACTGACAGGAACACTCTATTGACTGCGAGCAGTTTTCATCTGACGCACATCAAATACATTCTGTCTCTTTGTCAGTGTTAGAGATTGAAAAGAATGTGTTCCTCTGCAATAGATTTTGAGACAAGGTCAGAAGAACATAAAAACAAGTTTCCAACAAGGGGTTACTTTGCTACAATGGATTGATTGTGTTTACAGCAAAGTCTGAGAGACGTCTAGAGAATAACTAATGCAGCCAGTGAGTAAGTCAAATAAAAAATCATTCATGTGTATTTACTTGTAGTTTTCACCTTTGTCAGATCAAATCAAATCCATAATATTGAAACACTGGTATACTTTGCCCTCTAATGAAAGCAAGGACGATATTTTCAACAGCAAAGCCTCTCTTTGCATACAAACCTAACCATAGAGGGCGTTTTTAGATTGATCAGATTTGCACATATTCTCCACAGTCCATAAAAGCCCAGTGAAATTATATTTTCAACATAAAGGAATTGAAGTATTGCATTCAGTGCCACTAGAGGAGTTATTTGTATGCTTGTATGCCCCCCTTGGCAAGAAAAACAAGACAACTAAAAATATGGATCCCAGAACAAGACAGGGAATTAAAGACCAACTTCACCTGTGAAACATTTTCTAGAGTAGAAACACATTTTCAGGCAGAGAGTGGGGTGGCAAACTGGGTTTACTGCGTTTATTTGATAGGACAAGTGGAGTTAGACAGGAAAGGGGGAAGAGAGAGAGGGGGATAACATTATGGGGGATAACATTATTTTTGGCTATATTAATCATTTTCCTCATAAGGATAAATGGACTCTTAATTGTCCATATATAATTTTTGGGTATAGAAATTAATAGACAGAAACTTGTGCTTTTTATCACAATACATGATAATATTGTATATTGTCCCATCCCTACATGATATGAAGTATGGCACCTGACTTGCAAGCACACAACATGTAGTTACTACGATGTGATAAAACATCATAGACATTATTTCACCATAAACTATGAGGAAATGAAGGTCATGTACTGAGTTTATTCTGCAATTTTCAGATTCATTTAAGATGGTAATAGCCATTGGCTTCTCAATTGTACTCCAATGTACTGAACTCCAATTGTGCATTCAGCATTATTTTAATGTAAGCCCAGTGAAGTTCATGCAAATTATTGACACCCCAAAATTCATCATAATTAGCCTGCATTGTCCTACGATTAGCTCTCCCTACAATGGGAACAAATCACACCTCAGTCTCAAAGCTCTGTACCCTACACCTCTACATTTTTAGACCTTACACACCTGGAAGACCACCCATGATTTATCTAGGCTACACACACACACACACACAGCCAGTGTCTTAAATACATTGCTACACCTACTGATGTTTTACTGTTCATGCTTAGTGTATTTTCACATATTGTGCCACTATTAAAGGACCAGTGTGTTCTTATTATTGTCAGGTGATTACACACTAATAAAGGCATACCTATGAATATTATATTCCATTTCTAGCAAATAGAAGTGTTGCAAAATGTTATATACTGGAGCTTTAAAACAGAGCTGGAGCTTTGAAATACAAAGTCAGTCTAATGCTCTGACCCAGAAAACCTATTTGATGCACACCTGCAAACATATTCTTCATAAAGATTGTAAATGGGTCCAACATAGTCAATTTCCTGTCGTCCTTAAAAACCATAGCTATCTACAATCTATTATGTTGTCCCTTGACAATTAGGTTGCAGTGGCTGCCATACCACACAGGAAATGTACTTGTATTGAAGTAGTTTCCTAGCAGCGCAATTTCCATAAAAAGGCATTTCAGTGTAATGTGTCGCTGAAGGTTGCAGACTATGTTAGACTGACGTTACCAAGATACAAGACAAACCCGTTTGGGTGGGCTATCCGTCTGTTCGCTTCATTTATGGCAGCGGACAGCCCGGCGTAACAAAACGATCAGTAGTTGTGACCGGAAAAAGCCACTTCCTAACTCATTTGATTGTAAAAGGTGTAGTCAGTAAAGGGAAATAGCATCGAGTGATAATATCTTAGATTACCCTCTTCGGAGAACTTTAAAATTCGCTATATTTCCAGCACTGCACCGCCTAACATGTCATATTTAGAGACACCCCGGATTACGTAAACATACGCACCCCACTGCGCATTACGGACATGACGTCAACGCGCTGCAATTCAAACTTCAGGAAACGAAAGCGCTTGGTTAGGAAACGGTCTTGTTGTCACACACAGGCTAACGTTAGTTTCAGGGGATATCTGCAGCTCTCTGTGCCCGTAAGTGTGAAATATTCAGTCCTTATCTGTTTGTTTTCACTGTATTTAGTATCGACATAGAAAGCCTTCATTTGAGACGATTTAAGGTTAACGTGAGGTTATTAAAAGCTATCAACTAACTTAACCAAGCTAAAGACAGGTGCGAGCCAGCTGTCAGTTTTATTACTGACACAAATGTTTAATAGATAATTCTGTTATATACCGAGGAATGACGGTGAAAAGGGCGAATAAAAAGATATAAAAGCAGAAAATTTTTTTTTTTTTAGAGACGAATATGTTTATTTTCCCATCGATTTACACTAATAAACCGGTAAAACCTATCGTATAGGATCATATTAATGTTCATATTTAATAACAAGTCTGTATGCCACCGTATTTGTATTTCAGCTCTGATGTTTGGCGTGTGTGACGTTGCATTCAGTTTAATTATTTATTGTCCAAATGATTTCAGTCGCATGTGAAGCTAAATATCGGCTACTCCTACACAAGTCTGTGAAATGTGTTGTTTCCTCCATAGAGACCAGATTACTTCATCATCAACAACAACAACAACAACAACAACAAAAGCAGCCATGACATCTAAAGGTGCAAAGGAGACCATCGTCTCCAGGTTGGGTTTCAAGTCCAGCAGCTCTACCTCCAAGGTTGAGGCGGAGCTGGACAAAGTCAGGAAGGAGAACGCTCACCTCAGGAAAAAGATTGATGAGCTGGCCAAACGACACATCAAACCACCCGACTCGGACAAAAGCAAGCTGCTGGAGGTAAAGAGAAGTGTTTTTTGGGTGTATTGAGGAATTTCAGGGGGAACTTTAGTATCTCCTATCTGTCTTGTTGTCGTTTTTTCTCCCTTTTTTGTATTTTAATGTGTATATGGTATCTCATATTGATTGTTTCAGAGGATACTTTCCCTTGAGACGCTGCGAGAGAGAAACAATCAGCAGCTGCTTGTTAAAGAGCAGGAACTGGAAACCCTGAGACAGCAGCTGACAGCTAGAGGAGGAGAGGTATGTATACATGACACATTTCTGCATAAATATATGGTTAAAAATCCCTACTACAGTCGACCGGACGGATGTATCCCTCTAGAAATCCTCTGTAAACATGCACACCCTCAGAAACGGATTCGGACACCCTGAGGCTGCTGTTTTCTGTCCAGGGTGAGGCGATAAACCTACAGCTGTGTCTTTTTTGAAAGAGACTCCTCGACTTGTGAACATTTGTTGCACTTTTGGCTTTGTATTGGCGGCTTATGTAGTGCTGGCAGCAGACAACTGTCAGAGAGGAGGGGGGAAAAAAAATACTAGAATTCCTGTGAGCTGTCACAAACACAGTTGGGGGGAAATAGCTTCTATCCCATTTTGACAGCAGCTCAGCTAAGTGACGTTTAGACAGCCAGCAAAAACTGCATACTAACACATGGTGTGTGTGTGTGTTGTTCACTTGATATTCATAAACCAACCATATTTCGCTGTAGTGGGTCTGCGTGTGTATTAGCATTCATGCCCTTTTACTGTTTATGACACTGCTGGAGAAACTGATGCTATCTGTTTGAGGTTCTTATCCTCATAAATATCTCTTTTTCTATTGTTGCAGAAATCGTTTTCTAATTTAGGCTAGTCAGAATGGCATCGAGCTAAAACTTGGAAATGGCACGCTGGTAAATGGAACATCAGCTATTCGACATTGTGAATGTGTAATGTGATTTAATCACACTTGCCTCTTCCTCATTAACTTTCATCAGCAAAAGCGCTAAAACCAGAGCCGCTTGGTGGGCGATGCCAGCAGACTGCCAGCGATGTATTGTCATTTGTGCGAAGCAGATAATTGCTTGGAGAAGAGCAAATATCCTCAGCAAACTTTCTCTAAGTAAACAAAGGTTAAAAAAAAAAGAGTAAATCAGGCTGACATGGTTTGTTCATTTCATTTTTTGGTGTATTTCAGGTGGTGGCGTCGCTGCAGGCCCAGCTGGAGCACCGGAGGAAGGAGGCTGAGCAGAGAGACACGTTGTTCCAGAACTTGTCACAGGAGACCGAGAACCTGAAAAACCAGCTGGTCACTGTTTCTACCCGGTGCCAGTCGCTGGAAACACAGGCGGTGGTAGGTTGACCAACTTACAGCCTCTGTACCTGTCTAGAACCTCTCATTAGTTAGAAAAGATGGCAGTGGCATTAAAGTTTGTCTCCTCTTCCACGCAAGCAATTATCTTGTCAGGGATCTCTTGTGGTAATGTTGTCGGCTTTAAAATGTGTCTGACTAACTACTTTGCCCGGTCAGAAGTTTTAATGGTGTGACGTTGATAATTAAAGTGCTTTTTCAGTAACCTTCTTTAAGTCATCTTTAGTTATTGATGTCTAGCCCAAGGATATTATTTATTTATTTCCATTCTAGATTGTTAGTAACAAGCTGGAAAGAAATGTAGATGTTTATTAGGGTTTCCTGAGGATAAAGTTACAGTTTTGTTTTGTCTCACAAAAGTTGGATGAATGGATTTATCCTTTTCTCTGACAGCATATTTTTCTCCCCTGGCCTAGGATTAAATCCTGCAACAGCTTTGCGTCCTCTGTCTCCCGTTCTAATATCCTCTATCTCCGTTTTTTTTTTCTTTCTTATCTGCAGTAGAATATATATTTTTGTTGGATTATAATATTTTTTACAAATCAAATTCCATTTTAGTGCAGCGATAACTGCCTTGAGCTCCAGCAACACAAACATCTGACTTACAGAAATGTGCTTTTAAAGTAAGAAATAAATCTATAACTTCATCAACATCGGTGTGACATTTGCCTCTGCTAAGGTTTTTGAATCCTCGTGGCACCTGTAAGTGGGTTTAAATCATGTTTATCGAGCGTTTCAACAGAAACAATTTTTCAATGTCTCTGCTGCATGAAAGGAGACTTGTTTGGCAGTTCTTCTTCTGTCCACTGGGTGGCATTGTGTGACCTCTGATTCTTTCCCTCAGCTTCTGACATTAACTCCTCTGTGGAGCAGCCTCATTAATTTGTTATGATCGGGTGCAAGTGATAAAAGTCACTCAAATTGAAACATTGTAACTATAAACACAGACATCACAATAACGCATCACTTGCAGTAGTTCGGATAAAACAACGTGTCCACATGACACTTCCAATATCATCATCAGAATCATCAGCGCAAGAAAAAGAGCCTTCGGTAAATCCGTGGTTGCCACTCAGTACCCTCACAATCATGGGCTCTCATTCCTAATCAAAAGGCAGCACTGATTTGCGGTCAGCCCTTTGATGCTTTGAGCACAGCAGGCCCTCGCTACACCCTTAGAGAGCGGTCATCACGATTCTCCTTGGCTTCTGGAGAGGCTTAGGCGGCAAAATCACAAGAAAGGGCTTCAGCACGAAGATCCTGAAATCCTGAAAATACACCAAATTTGTCTGTTTTTTATTTTTTTCCAAGAGCTATAGTTATACACGTGTCCTGATTTCTTTTCTATCTTAATCAAACTTCAAAACCAATTAGGGTGAAGGACTCTCCGGGCATCAGCCAAAATAAAGCATAAAGTGTGTCTTGTTTACTCTAAAGGCATGTGTTTTTTAATGTAGAGACGTTAGATGCTGCACCTTATTAAAAGCTCTTATTATAATCCAGATCTAATCTCCCCAGGTGCTTTAAAATGAGTCAGTCTGCTGCATGCCTAATGTTGGCACGAAAACGCCAAGAGAACAGGAGAGAAAGTAGGGACTTGTACAGTAATGCAGATGCAGTTTTTTAATGTTTCCTTGTTTTTGTTCCTCATAAAGGTCACCAAAAAGCTGGAAATACTGTCCTGAATCTAAATGTTCTCAGGTTGTTTGCATAAATCCTGCTTTGGTTTTAAAAGTCACTACTTTTAGACTCAAGGTTGGGAAGTATTAAAATGCAGAATATGTATACAGATGAATACTGGTACTTGTAGGCATATAGTCTATACTTTTTAAAATCAGTGTCTTTCAATTGCCACTGCAAGTGGATTTCCTTGTCTTAAATGTGCTAATGGTACATTTCCGGGAATTCTCTCCACTGTCCAAGGCCACGGTTTAGCTCCCTGTTGCGTTAGGAGAAATAATCTGACCAACAGCCCCCTGTCCCACCCTTTCCCTCGTCCTTAGGTTTAGCTTATGGGACATAAGTTTAAATCCATCTGGAAAAAGTTGACAAGCTCATGTTGTGTCTGGTAGTAAGAGCTCACACAGCCTTAGTACAGAGATGATCGTTTAAATGCTTTTGCGCTTAGACGTTAGATGGGATCAGACGTGTTGACCTCAGGGCAAGGGTGACAGAATTATGAGATGACTGACAGTCTTCTAGGGACATACGTCGAGGAATTAGCCCTACAGATGATGTCCTAGGTCATGTGGCAGAGTCTCTGAAAAAGTTAGAGCATAGATTGAACACTTGCTCCAGTGTTTTGTTTTTTTTCTTGCATTATTAAAACTTGTATAGATGAATCATTTAAACCAGCAACACTACGAGTGATTTTCAGCCTGTGGCAAACCTACTGTTTTGGTATCTGTCGAGATTTTGCACAGAACAACAAATACAAAGAACATGAGTTCTTCAAAAGGGTCTATCATTTTCTTTTAGAACAACTTTATTTGTCTTGGACTGAGGTCAAACAAGTCAGTTCTGTCTGTCTTGAACTTAAATTATCTTTAAAGTCAACTCCACCACAACACTGTGTCTAGAATAACTAGAGTAAGAGTATAATAACAGAGAAGGCACAGTGCTAGACGGCTGTGCTCACTGCTTTCTGGTGCATAACACATATATTTTTCTCATTATTAGGACTTGCTAATTTAATCCAGTCTGTTTGTTCCATTTAGAGACCAGTGTAACTGAAAATGTCATTTTATTTTGTGACAACCAGATCTTCTAGAAGTGTTGATGTAAACACTGTATATATCAGAGTTGGGTTTATATGAAAACATTGCTTTTCTCTCTACAGAATGGACAGGTACCTCCTGCAGACTTGGCTTTGGTACAAGATCAACTGAGAGACGTGAGTCCAGTCAACGATTTACTGTGTGCTGTTTGTAATTTAAAGTACAGACGGACCTTATGTTTAAAGCAATGTTTTTGTACCGTAGCTCTGTAACTGCCATTACAAACGCCATTGCCATTACACAACCTTCTCTGCAGTTCATCACTCAGTATTTCCAAAATATTTACAACCCATTTTTGTCAACATCAACAAAGGACACACTAGGCAGTTTTTGGATAGAACAAAACATTTTGATTATTTGTATGAGTGAAAGCATAGTCTCTGTTTTTTCGATCCACTTAGTTTTGATGAAAACAACCTTGTCACAGAACTGCTCCCTGAGGAGACACAATGTGATTTTATTTTATTTTATCCCCCCTCCCTGAGTGTTGAGCTCAAATGTTCAAATTCTGAGAATACAGTACATCAGTGTAGGGCTTGTGCATCTCACCACCAGGCTCTTGAGAAGAACCAGCAGTGGCTAATGTACGATCAGCAGAGGGAGGCCTACGTCCAGTCCGTCCTTGCCCGCACACTGGAGCTGGAGCAGCAACTGGCCCAGGCGAAGCAGCAACAAACCAAACATGAGGCCAGTTCAGATGGTGGGTACATGAAATGTTAAAATAATTCAAATGAACTTCCCAAAACACTTAATTTTGTGCTCTGATACGTACAGAATGGAATGTGAAAAGGGGAAATGATGCCGTTTGATTTAGATATTAGCTTTTTAGACACAACATTAAACATTAAAAAGGCAACCAACAAAATAAAAACAGAAAAGCCTTGACAATTAAACTTTCTACAGATCTTCTACATAGACAATGCTTTGTACCAAATAATGTCAATGAATAGCTTTAAATTAGCTTTATTATTATTAATTTTCTTACTAACAATTTGTATCTAAGCTCCTGCCAACTCAGCCGCTCCAGGAAAGGAGGTTCAACTGAAGTGCCACTATGACCAGTTGCTGTTGGGGGTACAGAAAGACTTGGAGAGCCAGAAAGATCAGGCCACCAGAGCTCAACAGGAGCTCAGTGTGCAGAAGGAACAGGTAAATGCTGTAGGATTTCATTTAATTAATATTTACTCATTTTGACCTTTCTGGGTCTGAGGCTTCCTGTTTCGGGCTCCCTAATTAATTTTTATGTTCTACTTTTTGTGCCTTGCAATCACCATATCAAACTATGTACACATTCATTAACATTCACTTTGTTCAAATGTTTGTGTTAGCGCTAAATCATGCGACTGAACCAACGGCATTCAATTTCTACATTTCTTGGATTCAGGCATCTTTATAATTAAATTGTAGGACCCTTGTCTTATTTGTAGAAGAAATTAATAGACAAATGGTGTACACCACTCTGAAATGTGATATTTTTCTATGACTCCACAGACCTTAAACGCTCAGGCTGAGCTAAAATCTCAGAAGGAGCAGGTCAACAGGCTCCAGGAGGAGATGTCGGCACTGCAGAGGAGCTATGAGGACAAGTGCGGCGAGCTGTCATCTTTTCTGAGGAAGTACAAAGAGAGGAGCCACGAGCTGGAGGAGGCCAAGATGCAGCTCCAGGCGGAGCGACACAGCAACAGGTAAAGCAAGTCTGCTCTTGTTGTCGAAATCAAACAGCGGCGGCTCTCGGAGCAACTCGGTTCATGTTTACACGGTAAATCCAACTGATGTAAAGAAACTGCAACGGTCTATGCTTGGAAAAGGCCAGACTACAGCCAAAAAAATACCAAAAAATAGTCTAACAAACCCTCTATGAAACAAAAACTGCAGTTCATCAGTTTCAAACTAGTGTTCTTTCACTGCTCAAGTACGATATAAGCAAACGGGAGTATTCTTAATAATTATGTGGATTACATAAACATTGCACCCAGGCATGAAGTGTGTGAGGAGAGAAAGGTGTCGTCTGAGCGAGCAGACAGGATGAGAGTGGAACTGGAGAGTATGGACATCAGATTGGAGGAGGAGAGGAAGAGATCTGCTGAACTTCTACTGCAGGTAAGACTCGCATTCACCATCATGTTACCTGTATTCACTCTTCACTTGTTCATTTATGAAAGTTATCCACTCATTCTATCAAAGCACTCATGCATGAAAGAAAGTCTGTTTAAAGGGTGGAAAATATAATCCATCACCAGTTCAATCGATAAAATGCAACACTCAACAGATTTGTAGTAGAAGTAGAACCTTTCCAGGTTTATTTGAATGGGAAATGGATTTCAGCATAGCATTGTGTGTTATTGATCATTTGGCCTTCACAGGTAAATATGCTGCAGAAGTCTCTTCTGAGCCAAAATGAAGAACAGAGGAGAATCGCAGCACTGGAGCAACAGGTAACACTACAGACAAACGGTCCAGCAGTTTACAGTTCACACAAGCAAAAATATGTATAAAATGGTAAATCCTCATCCCAACTACTAGTGCATTCTGGTTGTGTTGTGTGAAGCAAGGATTCAAAGAGAATGATTGCTGAATACTGATTGCAGTTCAAATGTTTACTGCCCTGTTCTGTAGTGTGTGTAGCACATAGAGTTGTGACTATTATTTCTCAAAAGTAGAAATCCATACTGATCCACTTGTGCAATTTAAGTACAGAGAGTTCTTGGCTCTCTCCCCCTCATATATTTCTACCCCTCCTAAGATCCAGCTCTCTGCCAAGGACTCCGAGAATGAAAAGATTGATCGTCAGAGCATGCAGCACCAGTTACATAAGGTGCTGAAGGAGCTCCGCAAGGCCCGAGATCAGATTGCTAAACTGGAGTCTGCTGTAAGTGTTACTGCACACCATCACCACATGTTCAGAAGTACAGCTTCAATCTGTTAAATCATACACAGTAAAAAAAATATTCTCTGGGTTTCAGAAACAGCCAAACGCCCGTTTTTCAGAGCCCAGCTCTTACAACGGCCTTGAGTTTGAGCGTCTCACTATCGATGACCATCGAGGTCCATCTCCGTCCAAAGTCGCCAACCTCCTGGACGAGAGTTTCCTGGAGTGCCCTAAGTGTCGGGTCCCCTATCCCACCAGCCGCCACAGGGAGCTCCTGGCACACATCGACTACTGCTTTGCCTGAGTAAGAAGAGTCTAGATCAGTCGTTCCCAGTAAGGGTGTCAGGACCCCTCCTCACCCAAGCAAGATAGCAACAAGACAAAAAAAAAATAAGCTTCCTGCTATTCTTTCTTTTTTTTTTTTATCCTCTACATACCTAAAATTTGAGGTTAAATTTAGTTAACCTGGCCATACTGACATGAAGTGTGTGAGAATGGGTAACAAGCTTCCTTTTTAATGGGTCACAAATCAAAAAGTTTGGGAACTACTGGACGAGATCATAAACTCGATTCAGGAAACTTAACCCCCTGCGTGGTACATATGTTAAACACCTGTCCTTGGTTTGGAGGAAAATCTGAATTCCATGCTCAGCCAGTTTTAGATTATGCGAAAATTTGAAAAACAACTCCGATTCCACAAACAGAGTACTCTTGTCAGCAACAGAGCTAAGTAAAAGATATTTTTAAACTCATCTGGAAGGCTACCAACTAATTCTTTGTTTCAGTTCCCAGAAGCTGATTAAAGATGCATAGTGGCTGAGATCTCATGCAAGATGATTAGTTTGAAATACTACTCCTGCTGTCATAATGATCAGTGGATACAGATTTGTGATACATTAAATAAACACGATTGGTTGTGCAATTCCCACAAATATTTCATTACTGCAGTAGGCTGTGGCGAATTCTCGTTTTGTCTTCACTCCAAGAGATATTCAAATGGTTATTTTGCCCCCTTATTTAATTTTTTTTTTTTTTGTATGGGTATGGGAATCAAGGGACATTATTAAAATGCTGCATATTTCATCTTCAAATCACCCTAAAACTACTTAAAAGTATTTTAAGTGCTAATTAACCATTTAAAGAAATGTACTGCAGTTATTTTTGCTCTTAGAATACCATTAGGCCAAAGATGGATCTGATCATTTACTAGAAAAGATCATATTCCTTCCATGTGTTTATTTCTGCGGTCTTCCTGCTTCATTTGTTTGAGTTGTATTTTTCAGTTTTTCTTGTTATGAAGCTCTTTGAGAATTCTTTATTTCTGTGTGCATTTGATGAAATTATTTATTCTTGGGTCTCTTTTTTATGAGCGAGCTACTGCCTTTTTTATTTTCCTTCGGTAAATGTTAAGAATAATAATTATGTATTACTATACAATGTTCTGCATTTATGATGGCCTTTTTTGTATCATCCTGGGACCTTTTTATTGTATTTTGTATAAAAGTTTACAAACCTGCCTCATGTTCCACACTGTTCCTCCACTCCTAGATTGAGTAATTATTACCTTTTTGGTGTTTTTGTACTATTGAAGGCATATTTGCATTCTTCCGACCCCTGAGCAGCAATGCCGAGTTGCTATTTTGACAGTATTGAGGCAAAGGACAAAATAATAGGGAAACATATGTCTATGTTCAGCTTTTTTTGCATTCTTGGCTACATTCAGTAGTCAATTATGGGGGAAAAAAAAAACATCTAACTAGCCTGCCATGTGTTGTTGCCTTTTAAATTCCTACTGGTTGTTCTTCTATTACCAAGTGTAGCAGTGTTTCTCTGTCTGTGTGTTGCAAACAAACCTTGTTGAATCATGTGACTGTAACCATGACCAAGATCTTTCGGTAACCTCAAACACAGTTTTATTTGCCTAACAAGAACATATTTTCTTCCTGGAGATTAACTGGTCACATGGTGCCAGGTTGTCTATTTATTCTCCCTGTTTAGATGAAGCTCAATTCCATCTGCACCTTGACTTTTCAAGTCTGCAGCCCTATGAGGCTGGAATGAGATTGCATGAGTTAATTCCTTGTACTAAACTATTTAAGGCAGGGGATTAGTGAAGGTCCTCTCGGTAGGGGAAAGGGGTTAAGATGCCTTTATTCCTGCAGCCTTGGCAATGTGACTAGATAGACTTAAGACAAACACTGCTACGCTGTCATCTTTCAGATTGTTGTTTTGTTTTAAGGAAGATCATGTGTCTTTTAAAAATGCAATCCAAGAATGATTTTTTGCTGTGTTTTGCTTTGTTTTATTCTAATCATGTCCTCCAAAGTTGTTTTGCCATGCACTGTACTGTACAAATATGTGCAATAAAGATGTACATCTTCCAACGCACCTGTCGTTTGTGGACTTTGTCACATCGGACCATATTTCAAGACTGTTTGTGTTTTAGTGACATTGTACGCAAAGATTTACTCAAATTTAATACAATGTGTCCAAATTTCTAATTTATTTTTTTATTCCTTAAAGTGAAGTTTTCATGGCCTTGCTGTTACTGATGATCCACAGTGGAAAAGTGAGGGCTGAGATAAGTGAGGATGTTGTTCATTCAGCTGTACTTTGATACTGCAAAGGATTAGGCATCATCAGTGTATTCCATTCTCTATCGAGCTGATGTAACACATTCTGATGTTTCACTCTATAATTGATTTTCAGCGTTATCTCCAAACTAACAAGGTATTCATGTAGAAAACATTTAGTCAATCTTTATAATCCCTTGTGACCCATTAGATTTTGTAATGCTAGCGGATCAGCTATGAAAAATACAAGAGTCAGTGGTGCTTTGAGCTAAATGCTAATGTTCTGTTGTTTAGCTGGTTTAATGTTTGCCATGTTCATTGTCGTAGTTAGCCTGCTAACATAAGGCATAAACATAATGTGCATCTGAGGTTGATGGTAGTAGGAGACATCTTGTGTCTAGCAGGAAAACTTGCATATTCATAGATTCTGAAATGTTTAATCAGGCAGAATGAGTAAATGCCTTTTTAAGGATTTTAACATTATACTTTTACTTAACATATCAGATGCGTATTATTCTTCCAAGCAGAGTATTTGTATATGCTGTAATACAAATTACAGCATATAAATTCAATCAAAATCACAACGTCATTGACACACTGGAGGAAAACAGGGGTCAGTAAAGTCCAAATTCATGACAATCTGCCCCAACAGTTATTAAGACATTTCACTAAAAGCCAAATATGACAACCTGCTGGTGGGACTAGGGGTAAAGTTTATATATCCAGTAGTGGTAGCTGTTTGACCATAAATGCATCACAACTCCCTGCACGCTTGTGCCCTTTTTATTTATTTTCTTGCCTCTGTCCCTCAAACAGAGTTGCAATAGTTCCTCTCTAAATGCCAAACCCCTGACACTAATGTCAGAAACATAATGTACCAAAAAATATTTTAAGGTTATCAAAAATGTAATGAGCCAGTACAGTATGAACGTTTTATTTCAAAAACTGAATCAAGAAGTATACATCGTACAATCAAGAAACAACCAAACTACTGCGCCTATAAAGCACATGGCTCAATATGTATGTAGTGAGGGTTATTAACAATACCAGCTTTTGTGCTACACGATACTATAAGTCCTTCAGTGTTAAAGAACAGCCAGTGACTTGTGAACCTTTTTTTTTTTTTTTTAGTAAACATGGTGGTTATACTCCGGAACTGCGGTAAGGCTGAGAGTTCAGCTTCACTTTAAAAAAAAAGATTTTAACAACGGATTATTTGCCTGAAAAGTTCCAAAAGTTGTTTTTCAGTGATATGTCTTTTCAATTTCCGCTGGTTTCCATAAAGAAAGTTGTTTTGCTCTACTCTGAAGATCCAATACAAAAAACAACATGTGACACATGTTGCGGATAAAATGTTAAAAGGCCCAGAGTGTCCTTTACTATTGGTGACAACAGACCAACATCAACAGCCATCTTTCCTTTCTATGTACAGTATAGTCATGTGAATGTGACATTTTTATAGTTTGCAATTCTTAAGTTTATTTTTAAAGAACAAGAACAAAGACAGTAGAGGTGGGACCTCTGGTGGGATTCAGTCCAAGACCAGCAGAGAGGCACACAGTCCCAGATGGGGGATGTTTCAAGTTCACTGAGGATCAACAGATAAACTGCTCTCACAGAAGCCTGCAGCGGAAAGAAAGAAAACATTTTGCTCACTACAACATACCGCATGAGCATGTCATGCAAAATTCCTAAATTGTAATGTCTTACAAATATGATAAAAGTCCAAATCTACAAGAGCTTTAATAATACTGCAGATATTAAGGATTACTGATTTCTGAATAATGTCCATTTTATCAGTTAATCAGGTTAGACAGTGATCACAAAGTCTCACACAACTTAGCTCAATCAATCATTCACTTGCTCTCTTCACCTCATTGAATGGCACTGACTCACAAAAGGCATGGATCAATAAATCAGTGCATAAACAAACGAGCACTTCGCTGAACTCACCCGTGTGTGCAACGCGTCTGTATTTGCCCAGCAGGCAGACGTCCATCTTCTTCTGGGTGACGATGCGCTGGTCCTCCGCCCTCAGACCCGTTGGATGACGGGAGAATATGAAGGAATAGCTGTCTAAGCAGGTGCCGTCGGAGTCTAGTAGTCTGCAGGAGTAGTGGATGGCATAGTTATCGTAGTCCGTGTCGATCACCCAGTGGTCATCGTCTGAGAGAAGGGAGAGTGTAATAATGGGGAGGGACCATCAGACCTTTTATAAACTTGCATGGTAAGTGTGAGGCTGAAAAAAGGTATCCTACACATGTTCAATGGACATTTCACAAGCACTTTATGTCTTAGAGTTGCATTTATGTTTGTATATGGCAGCTTTTTTTTTGTTCACAAGATAAAAAAGATTTCAGTTAAAATTGTGGTAAATTTCCATTTAACTTCACTGTCCTTTAAGCAACCATTTGAAAATATGGACTACAAAAATGTGCCCTTGTACAAGCATTTTTAGCTAACTCATACATTATCCATCACTGTGTTCAAAACTCCAGACTTTGTGCTTGGAAAAGATGTGATTATCTCTCTGATGAAAATGGAGTTGAAGCACTCTGTCCACTATTTATACAAAGACAATGCTGGGAGTTACTTGATTGCACAATCAAGTCAGCAGCTGATGCAATAGCATGGATGGGTATTATGGGTAATACTACAGTGACCACAGTTTGGGTCAGGGTCACAGAGAACCAAGCGCTGCAGTTTATGATTAAATTAAATCAACAACTGTCTGAAGGTCAGCATAATATGAACGACTCCCAACTGGAAATGTCACACATTAATCCTAATGAGGTTTCTGGACATACAATTGTTTACTTGAATGTGTTGACGAGCCCAGACACAAACAAATTCAAGTCAGAAATTTAAGTCCTATTAGTGTTCAGGTGTAAACGTTCCACAACTTACTTCCTGTTTGCAGGTAGGATGCAACTCCCCAGTACTTCATTCTGAACTTGGCAGGGTCAGGGGTTTCCTCAAAGGTGGCCAACATGTCAGCACACATTTCCCAATTGCTAGAGGCCAAAGAGAGAGTAGGACATAACTGAAGATGTGAGGCAAAATGGAGGCGATACAGGGGAGAGAAAGCATATTGATTTAACCGTATTAAAAACATAACAGTAAATAACAGAACTCACTTGAGGATGACGACTCTGCCCCTAGCACTGGCAGTCATTTTGCCATCTTCTCCGACAAGATACGTGGCCTGGATGTTGTCAAGTAAGAACAAACCCTCTGGGTCCTTCTTTGCTACAGCATACCACGTCCCTGCATACTACAAGAAAGAAATCCAGGCATAATTCCACTTTACAACTCAATTTAAAAGTTGAAGTGAAAGCAGGGATACAGAAATAAATGGAGCAAACCTTGGACCTACAGTCTAATTTGTATTAGACAAATACAACTCTAACAAAAAAATTATAATAACAGAAAGCAGATATGATTATAGAACCTAGTCATTCTTATTATACTTTCAACTCACCCTGGTCTTGTCAAAGTTCTGCATAACCTGGATGTTAGCCACCTGGCAGTCCTGTGCCCAGGCCAAAGCCAGGAGGCAGAGGGCCACAACGTACCGCAGCATTCTACTTCAAAAGAAGAAAAACAAGACAGAAAGAACGGAAAGAAAGAAGCGGTTGGAAGGAAAAGTTTGAGAGACGGAGGCACAGCAGGGAACAGAAAAGACACATTTGTCAGCTACATTGCCTGTTCATCTCAAATCTTCAAGTGAAGTAAAGTGAAGAGTAACACAAATCTGTGCTACAAAACTATTTACCAAAAACACTTTGAATAAAGGAATCAAAATTATTTAAATAAAAATTAATAAAAATCATTCACTTAGTAGAAAAACAACATTGTCAGTGCATACCTGATTACCAAAATGTGGACAGCTCACAGAGATCCGCTGGTTTCCTCTAAGGTTGTGGCCTTATATACAGCTGGCTAGTATTGCATAACAACTTCTGGAGATCCGACCCTCCCTTGTTTTTCCCCCACGGCTAACTTGCCTTCCATTGGACGAACATTTACATAACTGCTTCCCCCCTTATTGATTTGTGTGTTGTGCACATTTGGCCGACCACATCTCCAGATGCCCCCCAAAAATGTGCCTTCCTGACAGAAACTGAAATGAACTGAAAACTGAAAAGAACTGAAATGTTCTTGGTCTTATGAAAGCAACCACCAAAGGGACCATACTGAATAATCTATAGATGGCATGTATAGGTACGAACACATATATTGTATAACCATAGACGCACACAGTGAGTTGTACACTTTGTCATTTGGGGCTCAAAGTTACAGCTTGAGTGTGCACAGACAAAAAAAAGCTACTTTTTAAACGTCATATTTGGAAAAACTGGATTCTACTAAATTCATGTTTCAGCTCTTTCTCCTTTCTTATTTAATAAAACAATGAACCGTTGACTTATGACTTATTATGCTGTTAAGGGACTTATTTGTAACTCCCAGCACTGTGTTTATATAAAAGATGGTCAGAGGGCTCAAGTCCACTCACAACAGAAAATAATCAATGCGAAAGCGAGATAATCACATCTCTCAACTAAGAACAAAGTCTGGAGTTTCAAACACCAGTTAGTGATGATGGAATAATTGTGTAATCTATCCGAGTGTTTTTGCTTCGAAAGCATTGTTTTCATTTAAGTGATCGATCCGGCATCAAAATGTGTATTTCTAAAAGAAAAATAGCACTAGAGGAAGATTCCTGTGAACACTAAGATAGAGCAAAAAGCTCCAATAAGAACCTCTTTATTTCCTTTTTTTTTTTTTTAAAAACATGCTGTTCTCCCAAATGTAGTCTTTTTTCTGACTTATTTTATTCTGCTGCTCCAGATTTGCAGTTAAAATGTTCATTATTGACAGCATGTTAGGAGAAATACCTAAACTACTCTCTAACACAGGTCTGTGTTTCATCTGACTTATATCTACTGTGGCAGAATTTTAAAGTGGTTTGCTGTTGTTTTGCTCTGGGATCGTGTAACTGGTCCTCTGAGGGCTTGGTTGAATAAAAGCACAGCACAGCCAAACATCTGCAGCTTGCATAACCACAGCTCTGGCTAGTTGAAAACAGCGCAATCACTCATTTTCAGCAGAAATAATAGCAGCTGGAATCTGGCCAGAGGCACTGCAACATTTCACAATCATAAAGATTGGCCAAGAAACTATATAGGTTACACAGCCAGGTTTGTGTATGCATTTAGCATTTTGGGCCATTTTGTGGTAAATAGTAATGTCAGGCAGGAGTCGGTTTCTTGTTTTAATGGGGTGTGAAACTTGGGTAACTCAAGAGGAGGTTGGGTAAAAGTGCTCATGGCTGAATGCACTTCTTCCATCTCAGCTTTTGGGCTTTAAAGAGGCCAATTTAGGTGTTTTGGCGCCTCACGTAAATATAATGCAGTCCAGTCAGACCTCACCATTACTGCCAGCCAAACGTACCAAAGAGTTTAATCAACATTAAGAAGCTTTACAAAGATAGTATTGTTGTCAAATGTATAAATAAATAGTGGATGTAGGTCCCGGGTCTGAAAAGTGGAGCCAATGCAGAGTGTCCTAAACCTGCATTCTTTTTAATGGCCAGCAGGGGGCAACTCCAATGGTTGCAAAAAGAAGTCTGATTGTATGTAAGCTTATAAAAAATTACCACACTTTTCACTTTATTTATTACCTTATTTAACATTTTCCTCATGGGTTTATGATCTCAATCTCTCATTTCAAGTCTTCTTCTATACAGCATGATGTTCATTTTTTAAATTATAGTCCCATTTAAAGTAAAATAGACAATCGAGCCGCTACCACGTCCTCAGGTCCTTAGTCAGCTCCCCAGCTCCAAATTGTCCAAATATGCTCACTTCTGGCTCCAAAAATGGCAATGGCCATAAGGCCAGACTTGAGGCTTCAAGACGGTAGTCCACAGACCAGGGAGTGACGTCACAGTGGGTTTAAACTTGGGTGATTGTATTAGATTGAAATAAACTGCATCGGTATGGTTTATAAAAAGGTAATTAGTTTGCCGACTGTTTTCTTTAGTCAGGTTGCCAGATATCAGCCTCTTTAAAGGACCAGTGTATAGTGACATCTACCAGTGAAGTTGCCAATTGCAACCAACTGAATACCACTCACGTCATCTTTCCTGCAAAACTCGCAAAAAGGCCCTATCTATAGACAATGTTTGATTTGTCCATTCTGGGCTACTGTAGAAACATGAGAAATGCGGAGATAATCAATGTGGCGTCATCCTGTAATTGCTACTTGGCCACTAATCAGTAAACGTAGCATAATCTCAAAGGTACCCAAAAACACCCAAGATTAATTAAAAATCACTTCATTGTATTGGTTCAAAATGAACACAATCCAGAGAAGTAGTTCTTAAAAAAGACTGATTCAATTCAGTTAGAAAACAAAATACTGGAACTGGCTATCAGAAATACTTAATTATTCCTCATGTTCATCATTACATTTGGCTGCCTTCCCTTGTCTTTTCTCTTTCACACACTAACATCCATTCAGTTTCTCCCTCTGTGAAATGGGCTGCTCTTATTTATTTCTACAAACACCTCACATCCATACACCCACACGCACACACCTTTTGTAGTTCTCCCTTGATAAGCTTGCCTTTATCCCCGCAGCAAAAAATAGTGGGGAGCTCCTTGTCTTGCCAGCCTGCCAGCAGCTAACCAGACAGTGCACTTAGTTAATAATAGCCAGCCATCTTTGTTTAGGGCCTTGTTCTCAGACGTCCAAGTCTCACTAATTGGCCTGTTTCCAGTTCTAGGACTGATACCTCCATGATGATGGTGATTAAATTAGAGCACCCAGGTAGGCTCACACATTTAAAGCATTAGATAGGCTACCATTATAGCTCTGAACCTGATCACTGCCAGAAGCTGACACTATTTAGGTACTTCCTCTGCTGTAGCAGCAACAACAAGGATAGAACATTGGTAATACATGGTTGGCTCACTTGGAGGTTATTTGAGGCAGAGAAAGCTGATATCATGTCCCTTGCTTGCTCAAATAAGTTGATCATAAAAAGATAAATGTTAGACTGGAAACTGGCTACTGGTGTGAGTCCAGTAACTGGTTTATATAAGACTTGAGCATGAAGCTACACTATTCAGTGAATGTTCAGGTGCTCTTTAGTAAGGCACTTGGGCCTCCAACTTAGCAGCCAGGGGTTGCACTAAAGGTGTCAAGGTGATTGTAGCTCTAGAATAAGGGGGACCTGGACCAGGTCAATACATCCATTCTCATTTTCACCTCTGTCCTGATCCCATCTTTTTCCTCATGCATCCCCAACTTGGCATCTGACCTGACGACAGTTTCACTCTCTCTCCCTGCCTCCTCCCTCGGATAAAATTATCAGCGTTTGGGATTTGCGGGTTAAGGACGCTTAGGGCAGGGGTTTTAATGTCATGACGTCACTGTAATTAGCGGCCACTTTGATCCTTTCAGCCTCTAAGCCGCATTCTGCCCTATTCTGTCCGTCGGCGGACACAGGATGCGTTAGAGACTCCCTCGGGGACCGTGGAGGAGAATGCACGTCCGCGCAAACGGGTGCTACTGAACCGCCCCAACCCCGCAGGCCACAGCAAGGCTTCCCCCCTTTCCATTTCTACACATCGCCTGCGAGGTGATGCTTTTGTGAAAAAAAAGAGGAAAAAACTAAAAACTACTCGAGTTCAACATGGCAGACAAGGATAGCGTGGAGAAATACCTGGAGAACAACCCACAGTTCGCCAAAGAGTACTTTGATAAGAAGCTGCGCGCTGATGCGCTCTCCGCCGCCTTCAGCGCGCCTGTCGATGTCACCGCTTCGTTCAAGGATATTAACTCTGTTCAAGAGGCAGCCATCATCTTCGAGCTGATCCAGGAGCTGCAGAAACAGGGATCCCTTGAGCAGTCCCTTCACAAAGTGTTACAAAGAGTCGCCATGATCTTGCAGGCCGACAGGGTCGGTTATTTCCTGTGCAGGGCCAGAAACGGAATACCCGAGCTCGCCACCTCCCTCTTTGACGTGACACCAACATCCAAGTTCGAGGCAAACCTGGTCCATCCGCAGGGGGAAATTGTGTTCCCTCTGGACATGGGTGTTGTCGGTTTCACTGCTCAGTCCAAAAAGCCACAAAATGTTCCTGACGTCTCAGCGGTGAGAAGTAGTGTTGGATAGTAGTTTTGTTGCCACAGTCTGTAGATAGCCTCAAACAGATAGCCTACACACACACACCATAATCACAGGAGAAACTTACAAAACAGCACATTTATTTATGTATTCCACTCCATTTACATAATATTTACGCATGAGGGCTACCAAGGCCAGTGATCTGTATCTGTGCCCGGATGGGATGTGAAACGTGTGCGTGGATCTGAAGTTGTCAAAGTGTAGATATATGGAGGTGTTCCCATGTTTCTGCAAATGTATTAGTGGAAATTACCTCTACAGCCTTGGTGGGTTTTTAGAAAAGTGAAATTACTTTAATTCCCTAATTTATAAACTTTTTTTGTCTACTTATATGTGTTTGTAGTCTAACATGTTTCTCCTAAAATGACTGAATTTAGAATCAAATGTGTAATTGCAAGCTTCTGATATTGACATGTGTTAGTGGTACAGAAGCAGAGATAAAACATATGGGTGTTTTTATTTTGTATTAAACAATTTGCTATAATTTTGTTTAACTTTTTGTTATAGTAGTTTTAGAATGCAACAAGATTCATGAAAATATCAGAATCTTTTGTTAAGATCATTGTCGTGTGTGCCATCCCTATTAGACAATTCATCAAACTAATCAGCTGAATATGATGATATACTACCCATCTTGTCTATTGACCAATATGAATGCAGGAAGTGTAACCAGTAATGGAATATTGATTACAGAATAAACAACAAATTGTAGTTTATTTATTTAAAAGTGAGATCAGACAGCATGCTGCCCTCTATTTGAAAAAAGTCAATGTTAGATACATTGTGAATATGAATCTTTCAATCTGCCAGGCAGTTAATGAGCTTATGGCATTGAACTGCATAGAATGAAACGAAGAGTGTAAATGTGAATGTGTTGTTGTGTGTTAGTGAATCTGTTTTATATCGACATTTGGATTATCCCAAACTTGATTTTCTTCTTTTTCTCTCTCTCTCTCGATACAGAATAAAAAGTTCTGTGACTTTGTGGATAAACAGACTGGATACAAGACTAAATGCATGCTCACGTTCCCTCTGGTGGCTGACAAAGAGTGCATTGGAGTCGCCATTGCACTAAACAAAATAGGAGCTGATGCGTTCTCCCCAGAGGATGAGACGGTAAGAATACACACTTAAACATGTAAATTCACTCTTATCCGCAGGGATTTGCTAAGTGAGCTATAGTAGGGTTGTGTTTCAGACACCCTGATGCATGGCTGACACTTACTGTTTCATAAATCAAACCTAAATTTGAAGTCTTATTTGTCTTAAGCAGCTAAAACCAGATTTTACAGTAATTCTCTGTTCATCATATCTATAGTTGCTTGTCTGCTACTTTAAAAACTGCCTGGGCTCTGCCATTTGAAATTTGCAACTAAATAAAGAATATTGCTGTAATTATATTTCACCAGTGGGGTGCAAAATACTTCCATTATGTCAGTGGGAGCTAATCAGACCTGACTGACTTGATGCAGTTGCTTTTGAGCATTTGACAAGAAAAAAAAGGCATTGTGATTTAACTGGCAATATGTTATCTCTGTAGTCTATATCAGAGAACATTCGCTGCTGTCTCTTGTTATTCAGAAGCTAAAACTCACACTGAGGCACAGTTACATAAAAATTGAACTGGGTCAGATGGAAATTCTGTTTTTATAGACTATTTGCAGTTATACAGAAACTAAAAAGCTGTGAGTAAAGAGATGTAAGGAAAGGATTAATGGAAATTATGCCCAGGGCAAAGGGTTTCACTTCTAACATGCATGATCATGTCTCATATTGCTACATTCTTTGTGTATATAGACAGATAGAACATTATAATCTCTTTCTTTTTACATATTATCTCTAGGTAAAAATCTTGTAAATGTGGACTTCCAAATCCATGTACAAAATGTGTGCAGTCTGTGGAAAGATTGGCCAAACATGGAACTAAAAGACCTTGTGAATTTTCAACCTATTTATTTATATTTACAGATCTGTCAAATCCATATTTCATCATATGTGAGCAATATTCTGAGGACACATACTCATAAATCACACCTTTCCTGGAGGGGGAAATGTAGCCAAATGGCACTGTACGTAGAAAAGTTCCCCTGTCTTAATTGTGCTGTTGTGTATTAATACAAACCTTTAATCTCCTTTGGTCCTTAGCTCTTCCACAAGTACATGAACTTTGCTCAAGTCCTCGCCCTGCAGCATCACACAGCCTACATGTTCAATGTGGAGTCGAGAAGGAGTCAGGTACACCTCCCGTTAGTTAGTAGTAGTAAGCGTTAAACAGATCTCATGCTATAGGCCATAGCTAAATATGTAATTACCCACATTCACTGCTGTCCTTGTGCTCATAGGTGCTGCTCTGGTCGGCCAGTAAAGTGTTTGAGGAGTTGACAGACATTGAGAGACAGTTCCACAAAGCCCTCTATACTGTAAGGACCTATCTACTATGTGAGCGATACTCAGTGGGTCTGTTGGACATGACCAAAGAGAAGGTTGGTTTTGCAGAATATATTCAATAATAAATAGCATTCATGGTTAGAGGCATAAATAACTTAAAACTATTATTGTCTGTGTTTTTCCCCTGCAGGAATTCTATGATGAATGGCCAGTGAAACTGGGAGATGTGGAACCCTATAAAGGACCAAAAACGCCAGACGGCAGGGTAACCAAATTATTTTTCTCCTCATTTATTCAGTTTTGTAGTACTTTAAATCTTACACCCTTCATCTTTTGTCTAACAGAGTTTGATCACCAAGATGTAATTTCATTTTATACAGGAGGTCATCTTCTACAAGATCATTGACTACCTCCTGGAAGGCAAAGAAGAAATCAAAGTCATACCGTGAGCAGCATTAGCTACAAATCCACATAAACTAATGCAACACATTTCAAAATAATACTTCAAAATACAGTATCAAAACATTGAAGAGCTTTGTTCACAGTCTTATTTCAAAATAAATGTCCTAACTTAATTTTAGTACAAATCAGATCTCACACTCAAATTAACAAAATTTAGAGCCCAAATTGAATATAAAGCTAAGAAGACACTGACATTTCTAGGGTTTCTGCAGAGGCAACATAATGTACGAGAGTCAGCACTTGTTTCACTTGCTTCTCAGTGAATAATGTGCTCCCTCGGGCTCACACCACTCTGTATGTTTCTCTCTTTTTCAGTGGTCCACCTGCAGATCACTGGGCTCTGGTTAGCGGGCTACCGACCTATGTTGCAGAAAACGGCTTTGTAAGTCTCTCGCCAGATGCTGCAGGATTATTCATTATAAGAATCACTAGAAAAATGAGAGGGAACTGGTTTGTGAAATAGGCACAGAGACTTGTAGAGAATGTAGTGAAACAAAAGACACAGGGACACATTCAGTGCAATGTGATAATACTTGAAGAGTATGTCACCTACATATACCTAGATTTCTGTGTAAAAAATCAGCTAATAGGTTGGAATACTTGGGATATTCAACTTGAATGTTTTTTTTTTATGTGACGGCCTGCAGATTTGCAACATGATGAACGTGGCTGCAGATGATTTCTTCACTTTCCAGGTGAGAGACGTTTACTGTCCTTCCACATATAGGAATTTTCTAGGGCCACCTTGTTATCCTCCTATATTTCCCATATGCACACAAAAGAAAACACATCAGTATCGGTTTGGATATACTTTATTTATAAGTATATATATACAAGTATTTTATCTCAATGTCTTTCAGAAAGAGTCTGTGGATGATACAGGTTTTGTCATCAAGAATGTGTTGTCGCTGCCCATTGTCAACAAGAAGGAAGAAATTGTGGGCATTGCCACTTTCTTCAATAGGAAAGATGGCAGGCCATTTGATGAGCATGATGAACAGATCACTGAGGTCAGTGCCACACATTCTCTCTCTCTTGTTTTATTTTCCTCTCACCATCAAACAGGCATTGTCTGTCTGTGTGTAGACACACTCTACACCACAGGTTTCCCTCATAAAAGGAAAGATCTGTTCTGATTTTGTTGCAATTTGCATGTTAATGAAGAAAAATGTCCTAAAACAGCAGTTACTTCATAATGCTTTGATACATTGAGTTTGCTGTAGCACCACTCATGTGCTAAGTGATGAAAAGTATCTATAAATATTTGCTCAGTGCATTCATTAGCTTAATTAACAAGGTAAAAACAATAATTAGAAATACATCAGGGCGGTGGAGGCGGCTCTGTGGCTTCTTGTTTGGATGTGTTTCCTCTCTCTCATTCTCTCTCACTCATTGTTTTGTACCAGGCCCTGACACAGTTCTTGGGTTGGTCGGTGCTGGTCTGCGACACCTACGACAGGCTGAACCGCATGGAGTGGAGGAAAGACATTGCTCAGGAGATGCTCATGTACCAGACCAGATGCACCAAAGATGAGATGCAGTCCATTCTGGTCAGTACCGACCTTACCTTGCTCCACATTTTCTCTCACCTCTGATGTCTCTTAGCATTTGAGGCCACTCAAGCAGGTATTAAAAGTAGTCAAAGGTTAATGTGCCGTGCATATCTTTTTAAGTACCAGTGCTCCAATAGCAGCTATTAGAGGACTAATGAAAGGTCCAGTGAATCACTTATCCGTTCGGGAACTAGCATTTGAGACGATGACACGATAACAGTTTACAAGGTTACAGCTTGGAGCACTTGTCTGAAGTGTTTGAAAACATTGTGCGTGTTCATGGGCTGAATGCAAATGGCGTTATAAATGATTGCTCTCTCTTATATAACCAGAACACCAAAGAGAAGTTTGACGCGGAGCCTGAAGACTGCGACCCGAAAGACCTGTACAAACTATTGGTATGTTTTGTTGAAACACGTTGACTATCTTGAGATTGACATTGTAATTACATAGCCATCCTTCAATTCTTGAGTACTGAATGATTCATCGATGTCTCCTGCGTGTGCTGCATCGTGTTTTTGTTCAGAAAGGAACCTGCCCGCCAGCTGACAATGTCAACGGAGAGAATCTGTACTCGTTCGGCTTCAGCGACTTCCCTGTTTCAGAGTTCAACCTCATCAAAGCCGGCATTCGCATGTTCTTTGAGCTCGGAGTGGTTGAGAAGTTTAAAGTTCCCGCAGAGGTGAGTCATTTGAATGTAGCAAGATGCTCTTAATGGTGCTGGTGCTGCAAATGGCCCTTAGCATCCTGAGAATATCCCAATTTGTTTCTGCAGATGTTGCTATTGTCCATCTGGAATACGATTATTTTCTTTTTTATAAGTATTTAATTAAAACATGTATGAAAAAAGTGTGAATTGATTTGATTAAAAAACCCTGCAAATGCAAACATACAATCCATGTGAAATGTGGGTACTTCAAAATATGTGAAGAATAGAAATGACGTGCCTTAAGGATGAATGTTCATAGCATCATCAATATTTTAAGTGACAGGCAATCTGCCATGGGTCTATTTTCCTGGGAAGAGAGAAGTAGATGTGATTTTTAATTAGTCTCTGGAGGCACATCATGCTGCAGCTACAAATCTGAGTGATACTCGGCAGTGTAGCTGTGAAGGCAGAGCGTTTTTGTTTTTTCAAACACGGGTACATCAAGCTGAGTCATGGCCATGGCTCACCTAAAAGCCTGTTGTCTCTTCTTTTCTGTTCTCTAAACCCACCTTCCACCTCTCTATCCATCTCAGACATTGACCAAATGGATGTACACAGTGAGGAAGGGCTACCGTGACATCACCTACCACAACTGGAGGCACGGCTTCAACGTAGGCCACACCATGTTCTGCCTGCTGCAGGTAACGCCCGCACAGCATCTGCTGCCTCTACAGAAAACCCCAACTGTAAAGCTCACAAATTAACAGGATCATCCTCTAAGTTGTTGTTTCATCTGCTCCACTTTCCTACTGCTCAGTCTGTTCATTGTAGAACAGACCGCTATGTCTCACAGGACTGTGTGAACCTCGTGCATAGGCTTATAACATATGTTATATTCCTTATAATAACATGAGATCAATACAGATAGCTAATATGAGCACTGACTATGCCCAATATTTAGCTTTTTTTTAATTTAAAAGTTCTAGAAATAGGCGTCAAATGAGAATAAATATTTTACACATTTTTATAGGTGGTCACAATCTAAACCACAAACTCAAATACCTCCACATAATAATCCCTGATTTTTCTCTTCGGCCTACAGACAGGGAGGCTGAGGAAGTACTACTCTGATCTAGATGCCTTCGCAATGGTGGCAGCCGCTTTCTGCCACGATATCGACCACAGAGGGACCAACAACCTCTACCAGACAAAGCAAGTCAAGATATTTTATTTTGGTGATTACATATGTGTGTGTGTGTGTGTGTGTGTGTGTGTGTAACCAGTGTTGTCAATATGTTTTCCAACCTTTTTTTTTTTTTTGCAGGAGTGCATCTCCTTTGGCTAAACTTCATGGCTCCTCAATCATGGAGCGGCACCATTTGGAGTACAGCAAGACGCTCATGGCTGAGGAGGTATAACAATAAATTCGAAAAAAATCAGACTTAAGTGGTATTTAGGAAAAGGCACACACATTTTAAACACTCTTCGCTGTTCCTTGCAGAGCCTGAACATCTTCTGCAACCTCCAGAAGCGCCAGTTTGAGAATGTGCAGCACTTGTTTGACGTGTGCATCATCGCCACTGATCTGGCCCTTTACTTCAAGTAGGTTATCTGAAATACTGCACTCGGACTACTAGAATGCTACCACACTACAGCTGTAGATAGTGACAGGTGTGAAGTAATGTTAGTGACTGGATCCTACTTTTGGCTGACCCAGTGCGTTTTCTGGAATCAATTTATGTATTTGCTTAGTTCAGTTGAGGTCTGATTGACTTTCTGCCATTTGTTTGTCTCCACGCAGAAAAAGAACTATGTTCCAAAACATTGTGAATGCCACTGAGCCAATGCCAGATGAAAAGGAGGCCATTGCCTACATCTCCAACAACTCCACCAGGAAGGAAATCGTCATGTATGTAACTGATTTAAGCAGAAGATATTACAGGTCTTGAGGCAACTCTGTCCAGTTAACTTTAAAATATATATTGTGGGGAGAAGAGTTCTGCAAAAGCAGCCCCCTTACAAATCATCAGCATCAGTAGCAGGGTGTCATCTTCTCTCCCCTGACTGTCTGTCTCTCACCTCCAGGGCCATGATGATGACAGGTTGTGACTTGTCTGCTATCACCAAACCCTGGGAAGTACAGAGCAAGGTGGGTGCCTTCACAGCCTTCACAGCCTTCACATGGGCTCATTAAAGAATATATAGTGAAGCTCACAAGAAGCAAAAAATAGATAGGAGCTAGTTTTATCATATAATTTGCTGATAGAGTACACATTGCATTATTTTACCCTGTCCATCATGCATCTTTGATCAGGTTATTCAGCTTTGAGATCAAATGCTAAAAGCTTCACAGAAGGTCAAAAAGGTTTTATATTTATAGCTGGCAGAAGAGATCCTCCGTCCCTCCCATGTAAATGTAGATACTGTAGGCTGGAAACAAGTCAAAATAACAACATATAAGAATGTCCTGAGAGTGAAATGTATATATTTCATTTATTGCTTTTTTGTTTTTGCAATCCCTTTCTCTCTATTATTATTCTGTATCATTCTTTTTTTTTTTCCCTGTTTGTCTATTACCTCTCCAGGTGGCTCTGATGGTTGCTGCTGAATTCTGGGAACAAGGAGATTTGGAGAGAAGTGTTTTGGACCAACAACCAATTGTAAGGGTCATACCCCTCTTGTGCTTTCTCTTCATTTTTACAGGATTTAAAAAAAAAGGTTTCTCAGGGTTGTTTTTCATCTGAAACTCTCTCCTCTGTCCCTCTCAGCCCATGATGGACAGAAACTGTGCCGAACAGCTACCCAAGATGCAGTGTGGTTTCATCGACTTTGTGTGCTCCTTTGTATACAAGGTAATGAACAGCTTTCGCACCCCACAGCTGCATCATTCTTCCTAAGAAAAATGACAAGTATGATTATTATAAGCAGTGAAGGGGAGGTGATTGTCTGAAGATGGATCTTGAGGCATGACAAAATACATGGGTTTTGCACACAAAAAAAGGGAGTCCGGTTGGTGCTCTGTGTTGCAACAATTAATCTGTAACTTCTGGAATTTAAACACAGCCACAGTCTAAGAGGGCTGTAACAATTGAATCCAGCTTCTGTTTGATTTAGATTCTCAGCAAAGCAGCATAAAAAACTTTATTCTGTCCACAATTTGTTTTGATTCAGTTTGATTTAATCAATTTTGATACTTTCAAAGAGTATCAGCTCTACAAATGTGAACTGTGAAAGTAACCAAACTCCATAGTTACAAGTGTGACGACTATTTTCAAGGCAATAACATTCATTTTCAAGCCCCTACTGTGCGATAAATACTTATTCGTAAAGCCTGGTGTTCAATTTTGAATGAGACTGTGTCAGAAAGGTGTAGCTTCAACTCGATAGAGCTGAATAACTAACTGTATGTGGGCACACAAACCAACATGCACACCTAATCTATAATGCAGTCTAAAAAAAACATTCCTACAGACTACAAAATGACCATTAGAGTTAAATAATTTCTCAAACACTCTCATTATTAGCTTTACAGATGTGTTGTTGCAGCTTCAACCATCTGAGGTTGGATAACAGGATGTATAGAAATGAACCTGTTGAGCCCAGCTGGCCCCAGGAGGAATGTCAGTTAGCTGTTTGTCACAATGGTATTTGGACAAGAACACACACATCTGTAACTGTGAACATGTGTTGGTCGTCCCTCTGGACTTGGGGTATATCATGTATTTGCAATGCCAAAAGTCCTTCCCTTGACAGTATGTATCCCATAAAGTGAATAACATATACTTAATTTATTTCTTTCATTTATCAGGAGTTTTCCCGGTTCCACAAAGAGATCACGCCCATGTTTGATGGTCTGAACAACAACAGGGCACACTGGAATGAGCGAGCCGAAGTATACAATGCAAAGATGAAGGCCATTGAGGATGAGAAGAAGAAACTGGAAGAAGAGGAAGCCAAGAAAGGTAAAAAAAAAAAAAATAGATGTGTGTATATTGGTTTAGTTGATGGCCTGATAGAGGTGTTTAGTGTTAGTGTTAGTGTGAATCATAACTTATTAGTGCATCTTTTCTTTTATTTCTGTGTGTTTATTAAGCTGGTGGAGGAGGCGACGGGAAGTCAAAGACCTGCACCATCTGCTAAGTTCTTCCAGGGCTTCTTGATCTGGACTAATGCGGTCTGGTTAGGCCTAATCTAGGCTACGCTGACAACTAGTCTAGTTGGAGCTTGACTAGGCTAGCTTGGTCTGGTCTGATCTACACCAGCCTAGTTCTCTCTGGTTAGGTGCTGTCCGCTCTGATGCTGTCCAGTCCAGCCCTGTTTGGTCTGACCTGGTTCAGTCTAGCCTAACTTTAGTCTAGTGTAGTCAGGTGTGGTCTGCGGTCCAGCCTAACTACCCTCCAAGGAGGGAAGAGTCAGAAACATCACCAAGAAGTAATGTTGGGACTCTGACTGCAACGGAGAAGCCGTTTGACTCTGAAGATGTGATGTGTTTGAAACTTCCTCCGCCATGAACAATCAAAAACCAACACGGACGACATATATTTCCCTTTAACATAGCAATAATCTATATATTTCTGTCATGTATGGTTTGACACCATGGTTGGATATGCTCAAAAGTTGTAAGCAAATTTTCCAAGTCAAGCTAAAGTACAGATACAAACTCTTTAGTATGAATAGCCCAGATAGGGTACTGTAGGTTGCACAATGCACTTAGCTGCTGCTGTTTTGGCAGCAGCAGGCCATGAAGGGAGGGCAGGCAGGCACAATAATATAATAATATTGGTTTTTTTTGTTTTTTTTTAGTCAACAGTTAAAGTAGCATGAGTTGTGGAATGAATTCCTTGAACACAAGAGCAGGAAACTGCAATCTGAAGGATCTGTTAATGCTGCGTTACAAACCTTGAAGCTCAGATACTATAGCGCTCATTCGAACAAGGGCTGATGTTCTTTTACCTCAAAAAGGCGCCGGTGAGTTGTGTAAGGGTGTATTTCTTTTAATATGCAATCTAACTATATACATATATTTTTTTGGATTCTTTGTCTGAGAATTTTGTACTTGAACTGTCTTCACGGATGGAGAGTTTGAGGCGAGCTTTGAGAGAGGGCGTTGTGAATCTAGAAAATGTGAAAACTTTATTGTCAGCTTTGAAAAACACTTGTAAGCTGTTATCTTTATGTCCAATGACCTGGAAAAAATGTATTGAAAAAGGTAATATACATAATATTTACGCCAGTGTTTAGAGCAAAATTCAATTCAAAAAACGATAACTTCTTTTAAATGTGCATGATTTCACATGTATATAGTTTATTACATAGAAACTGTAAAATGTAAATTGTGTAAACTTAAGAATAAATTAAGCATAAAACTGATTTGAAGGATGTAAAGTGAAAGCAACCTTTGTTTCTTCTAAGGAGGCAAGAGTCGGAGTCAAACAGGGCACGGTAGATCTACCTCCCTTGTAAGAAGATTTGATGGGATTTGATTTGATTGCCAGCCAGCCTTTGAGATCCACACAGCTTTAGACTTTAAAAACCCTTCTTACAGAGAAGGTAAAGCAGGCTACCTAAACCTTATTTGTATGTACAGACGACTTGTGTTTAAAATGGGCAGATGGAACTATAGCATCAATGATTGTACGACGGTACAGACTTCGTTCTTCACCGATGTCATTCTTCACACAACGCCTCTCCATATAAACCTGAAATGAACTTGATTTGGTCAGGCATCTAAGTTGACAGCGCAACCCCTGTGAACTTTCTGAAACACTTTTAGCAGTGTCCCTCCCGGGTGCAGAGGCAAGCCCTCAACTTCCTGTTACACAATGGCATCTCCTCTAATCAACAGGGCATCAATCAAAGGCACTTAATCCTATCAGAATGGCTTTGGGACTACCTGGAAACTTATTTTCTGCTGCTTGAGGTGAAGCAAGGAGCCGTTGTGATTACTGGAGCCAACACTGTGCTAAAAACTTTTACTGAATGAACCCCTGAGTGATATGTTTTAATGATTTAACCATGAAATTACCTCATTATTGCTGCTGCACACATTTTATATGGATGGTTACACCACCGGTTTTGTCTCCAGTCATAAAAAAATGGCTCCTTGCTTTTCCTTCAAAGATCCTTTTTGAGATACCAAATAATGCACTGTATACTTTCTCCTTATCCCATCAGCTGTCATTCAGATAATAGAAATCATTTGAAGTATGAAATTACCACTACTGTATGTATGTGTCATGAGATGTAATATGTGTAAGCAAATAAAGGATTTATGGAGGTGTACAAATTGAGAGAAACACTTTTCCTCAATATGAAAATAGTACCTCACACACACAAAGGTGATATCTATTCTATACTATCTCTTATTCACACTTGACTTGCACGCACATGAAGGTTAGCCAGAGACAGAGAATGAAACCTTGGGCTTAGCTGCGACATTGCTCGTTCTTAGACATATATCGTGCAGGGATCTTAGAGGCTCCAAAGCTGGATGAGCCTCCAGGGAAAGAGGATCAGTGGATTGGTTCTGATCCTTGCCCGATACAGTGTTGTCTGGCCATGTTATTCAGCATCCCGTGTCCTGCCCGTCTGCAGATTGTGCATGCAGGAAATTGCAGAATGTGTGGTGTTTAGTTAAAAATGTAAGTATACATTCATTTAGAAGACAGTAGAACAAAGCCACAGCACTGCATTCCAGTATGTGTGTAATTTGAGTGACAGATGCTACTTTGGCCTCCCCTTACAAGATGGTATATTTGACGAGGGAACAGGACAAGCCCTATAATCTATCATTTTGTGCGACACTTCAGCTTGTAAAACCCTGTATCAACACGACTGCCCATCCCGCCAACAATTTAGGGGTCAGTGGGTGTAGAGCTGGCCTCCTCTACAGGCTGCGCCATCACAGGGGTGGGTCTTCACAGGGAACCACCTCGAAATGCACACCTCGAATGTTAAATTTTATGTCTCTCTCCTCTCAAAAGTGTTTTCTTTTTTTCTTGCAATTTTACTTTCATTAGCTTTAAGGGGGGAAAGTTTCTCTGTGCTCTCTGTTTAACACATGCATCATTTTGTGACATTACAACAAGTTTAAAAGCCAATCATGGTCCAAATTGCAACTTACAAAAGTGGGTTGTGGAAACTTCTTCTAGTTAAACTTCTTACATGTGTGCATACTCATAGATTTTAATGAGGGAGAAAGAGTAGAATTTTAGCTGGTTCTACTTTTTTGAAACACCATAGAAAACAAAAATCACTTTTCAAGGAGGGTATTTTTATGTGTTAAAACATGGCGGGAAGGGGAGATTTAAATGTTAACATTATTTGGGATTAAAAAATTTCTCCCAGGACATTCGCATGGGCCAAATTTCCAAAGCAAGAATTTAAAGAAAAAACAGATGTTGACAACATGATTGATTGAACAGTGAATGCATCCAGGTGTACAAGTATAGGCAGGGGTCAAACCACTTCCCACCGGTACTCAAAAACAACACTGTTGTTACTCAATGTACCATTCACTACACTTAACCAGCTCCTAGCTTACAATGCCATGAATCACACAGTAAAAGACTTCTCCTGTGAGAGCAGAGAAAAAAAGTTATAATGAGACAGAGTAGAAAGTAAAGTCTTTATTTAAGCCAAGGACTATAATCTCCTAGCAACCTCACAGTTTCCTTTTGCGGAAAGTAAAGGCCTCAATCTGCCCTTGGCCAGAAGAAAGTCACAAGCTAATCCTTGTTGTCTTCTTTTTTAAGAGCAGAGTGCTTCACTCTTTCGTATTTCTATTTCACAGGAAGAACTCTAGAAAATCTAAAGCGCAGATGCAATGAATAAGAGATAACTTAAAGTTTAGGCAATCCAAGACTAAGAGTCAACAGCCATGTTAGCAGCTCTGTGAAGCTGTACGAGTTAATGCCACCGTCAGCATACTAACAGACAATGCTAACATACTGATGTTAAACAGGTATAATGTTTCCTATCAGCATTTTAGCATGCTAAGATTTGCTAATTAGCACTAAAGACAAAGTACAACTGTCATTGGTTTTGCAAATATTAATTTATAAAGTTTAAATTTTGACTTGATGTTGGCTCTAGATGAAAGGTTAATCACCAAAGTAATTACACTTCATGCCAAAGGGACATAAAGTTGTGGGCCGACTGACAGATAGACACTGCCATCCCGAGAGCCACACTGCTACCGTTTCTAAAACTATTTTTACAGGATTTCCTGCAGTGATAGTGGTGGGATTGAAACGGCACGATGACAGACATGTAAATCAAAGACTGATGGTTACACATTGATAAAACATTGTTTTATTTCTGTAGCAGTAATGAAACATACAGTCAAAAGAAATGTACATGCACACAAGACTCAAACAGAACATGCTTAGTGTCAGCGGTGCGCCAAAGGAAGTGTAGTCACAGCAGGGTTGCCGCTGATACCAGCAGTCAAAGGAACATGTCTTCAAAGTACTCATCAAACTCCTCCTCCCTAGACAGAAAAAAACACAAAATCACTGTGTTAGTTCCTGTTATGCACGGTGCTGACAGACTTTTAAATGCTTTGTATGGGTGGCCCATGACTAACTGGCAGATTTATAGCTATGCTTTTTTATTTCATTTACATTTTATTCATGCTCTGAACAATCTGAAATGATGTGGAGTACAAACACTGGTACAGAATACAGACAAATAAATAGTGGCGGAAAGCACAAAAAAGTCAGTTTAAATGAAGGCAAGAATACTCAGAAAGGCACCTAATGTACTTACTATCGTTGGCTTAACTGAATGTAACAAAGGAGTAGGTATGATTAATATAAATCAACCGAAAACACTGCCTGTTATGGTTTTCTTTTCAGTAATATTACCTCTTTCTCAGAGCAGAAACCTAAATTGCAAGAGCAGCATGACAGGACAAGCCAAGTAAAGGCAGGTTAAAGGTTTACCAACTTTCCTGACAGTTCAGAACAGCTTTGTGCAGGGTATCTAAGTGGTCTATGTACTGTGCTATATAGAGATCCATAACCTATGTAGGCTAAGTCGGTATGACTGTCTCTGATGGTCTTACAGCAGCTTACTGCGTGCGGTTTCATATGAACATTTGCTGTTAACCTCACCTTGACTTTTCCTCCACAGCAGGGGCTGGTCCTCGCCAGTGGTCGGCTTCCGATTGGCCCTTTTGCTCATCGCCAGCTTCGGAGTCTAGTGGGAGAGTTTCAGAGAGTGGTGGTCAAACTCCCAAGAAGAAAAAACTGGGTCGGCCAATAACCCTTGTCCATCAGTTTTAATAGTCAGGATCTTCACTGTTAGCGTAACATCAATAATTCATCTGAGGTTTTGCTGTAATTTCTTAGGAAATAAAGTGCATAAAGTACAATAAAGTATCAACTAAAGCGGATCCTGCATTGCTACCTAATCATATAGCGCTATATTGGGGGTAAATAGGGGACCAGCAACCTATTTTTACCCTCTGACAGTTTAATCTGACCGGGGCCAAACCAGATCACATTGTGTGAAACAAAAATAGTGGGCCCATAGATGTGCCCTTAGTATAAAGTTCTCCCAATTTTCCAGGAGACAAAGCTTCCATAACCTTAAAGTCTCTAACCCTCCCTCAACGCATTACAAATAACATGATGTTTTAGGATTCCTACATTTAATCAAGTTTAGCCTTTAACAACTGCTTCAAATATGTGCAGCTGAGAGAAAGACAGAAAGAAAGTGTTTTTGTACAGATTGCAATGCATGTTGAACTCAATGACACACGTTTGTTTTTGTGTACAACTGCACCCACCCACCCATCCATCCATCCATGCAGACAGACCCTGAAATGGGGACACAGGGGCAAAGACATATTTCATTTTATGCTGCTCACAGTGAAGGGCAAAAAGACAAGGAAAAAGGCAAAAAGTTGAGAGGAATGGGGAGAGAGACAGCTGAGAAAAAGCAGACGTGCTGTCTGTCTATTACTATACACTACAGGGCTAATGGATGTGTTTCCAATAAGGACTGTAAGGGTGTTTTCACTCCAAAAGTTTTGAGGAGTCTTCTTGGCCTAAAGGCCTGGGGGAGTAGATCATAAATTGTCTAATGTTCGTGTATTTTTAAAATGGGGGAGGTGTGTGTGTGTCTGAGTGTGTGATTGAGAGTTATGAATGCTACCTTTGTCCGAGTCCTGAGACTCCTCTGAGCCGCTGGAAGAGGTGGAACGATCTATAGAGAAACAGACGAGTTATAAAGTAAGATGTATTTTAATCAAAAGGGAGTCTTGGCAAAATAATATCAAACACAACAGAAAAATGGGAATTTCCAAGAACAAACAAGGCTTTTTCCCATGTGATGAGATTAGAAGAGGAGAGGAGAGAGTCTTACCTCTGTGCCTCTTGTGTTTGTGCTTCTTGGAGTGTGAAGACGATCTCTTCCTTTTCTTCTTCTTCTGTGATGGCTCCTGGTTCTCCATCGATAACCTTTTAGTCTTTGTCTTTGCTTTCACCTCCTTCCTCCTACAAACAGAATCAGACTTTGAACAAACTGTATTCACATTATCAAGCAGCCAATTCTAACTCTATTTGGAGGACAACCGGAAATCCATCAAGACCAAAGGCACTTTCAGAGGCACACGAATGAATCTTGGCTAGAGCTTTAAATGGATGAAAGCTTTGGGATATATAATCATGGCTGGTAAGACGGTTAGACAGGAGACATAAATTGTGGTCTGAATCCCAAACCTCTGCATGCTGTAAAATAATGTCTGCCGACTGTCCATTGTGACCTGCCCTACTTCTGTAAGACCAGTGCACTTTAAAAATGATTTAAAAATCATTCAATCGTGGGCAAAACGATCTACATTTTTAATGTAAAAATGTCTCAAAGGTGAAAAGTGTGTTAGCTTACTTGTGGTGGTAGTTGAGTTTGAAAGAGCATTCGGGGCATAGTCCTGGTTAGACAAACAAGAAGAAGAATTAGGTCAAAGTTGAGCATGAAAATGTATTTGATTTATTTTCATAGGGACAGGTACATGAATGTAAGTGTGTGTAGAATTTTACTTCATAAACCTGTAGTTTTCTAGTTCTGACAACTTTTACTAACTTCTGCTGAGGCATGAAAATGTGTCTAAACTGAGGAAATAGTTCCATCAGATATATATATATAGTATCATCTACATACAACTGGAAATCACCTTCATGACATAAGGCTGGTAAATTATACACTTGATCAGCCATAACATTACGACCACTAACACCACTCC